AGGATGCCGGGCCGGTGTGTGTCGGGGTGTGTGTGTGTGTGTGTGTGTGTGTGTATGTGTGTGAGTGTGCGCGCTCCGAGTGTGTGTATTTGTGTATCGGCGGTCCCGCAGGTCCCGGATGTTGCGGACAGTATGAGGCGAGCGCAGGGGGACGGGGACCAGCAGCTGTCGCCGCCGCTCTCAGGTGAGTTGGGGGGCGGAGAGTCGAGGGCGGAGGATGTCCTGTCGGGGTTGGGGGCGCCTCTGTTGAGAGGTGACTGACCCCACTACCCCTCCGCACACGGTCTTCTCTGCCCCATTTCCTACACTCGGATAACGTGGCCGGCGAATGCCAGAACCTAGTCCACCGTCCCTTTTCCCTATCCCAAGCCTTCAGGAGACACAAACGCGCCCCCTGCCTCCAGCCCCCCCATCACCGCCCAGCCCCATCCCCCTTGCCAAATAGTGAGCTGTCGCCTGCGGCGAGATGGGTGACTGCGCATGCCCGAGTGTGAACGCGCTCGGGGTGCCTGCTCGGTGCCCTCCGGGCGCATGCGCATCGCGGTGTTGCAGGGACCTGCGGGATAAAAAGCTCCCTGACTGTGCGCCGACTTCTTCCCAGGCAGCGGGCTAGACTTGCTCCGTAGCAGTAAGCTTGTAGTTCCTGTCCGAGAGGGAGAATTTAAATTATGCGAGGGCCTTAAGGACAAAGCGCTAGTCGAGTCTGTTGCCCTAGAGACTCCCAGGCTACCAACTGCTCTCAGAGCCAAGGTGTCCCACGCTGACCCTTTTGCAACTGTCACTGCAACTTCTAGTTCTAGGATTACTTTTCCTTCCTCAACTCCCATCGTCATGCTGTACCTTTATTTATGTTTTATTTTGTTTTCACGCTCTACCTTTAGTACAGACTTCCCCGAGATTTAGGAGTACGTGCCCCAACCTATTTAATTATTATGGCGAGGGATTTTGATAGCCTTGCTAAGGGCGAAGGGTCATAGAAAAGAAACTAAGAAGGGAATTCCTTTCAGTAAAATTCTTTTTTTTTTTTTTTTCGGTTTTTTGCTATAGTTGAGACTGACCTGGAACTCACTATGGAGCCCAGGTTGGTCTCAAACTCAGCGATCCTCCTGCCTCAGCCTCCAGTGCTGGGATTACAGTCGTGCGCCACCATGCCCAGCTCAGTAGAATTCTTAATTGCTCTCACAGCACTGGATAAGGAAGGGATAGACAGCTCACAAATTTTAAGGCTTTAGGTCATAACCTAAATTAAGACGTTAAGATTTCAATCTGCCAGTGTTCCGATTTTCTTTGACCTATATGCCTGGATTTTGTCTTACTTCTTTAGTGCTTTCATTCCAGCTGTGCATTATGGATGCCTGTGACCGTCAAGTGGAAACAAAGGCAAACAACTGATGAGCAGTAACTTACCTGGTGGAGGTTTTAAATAATGAGAGTGATGTTTTTTGTTTTTTTTTACGTCAACAAATACCAAAGTAAATTTAAAATTCAATCATGCTGGGTGTGGTGGTGCACGCCTGTAATCCCAGCATATGGGAGGCTGAGGCAGGAGGATCGCTGTGAGTTCAAGACCAGCCTGGGCTACATGGTGAGTTCCAGGTCAGTCTCAACTACATAGTGAGACCCTGTCTCAAAAAACCAAAAAAAAAAAAAAAAAAAAGTTGAATCATATTCCAGCGATTTAGGAATTGGGTTTCAATTGGCAGATTACGCTTTGCTCCTTTACTTTGCTCCTGTTTTGCTGTTTTTGGGTGCTTGACTGTGTCTTACCTGTACCATCAGAAAGGAAAGATAAACTCTTATTAAGCAAAAACGTTTGCTAGATAGTGTTGAAATGAATAGCTGAATTCTTGTAGAGGATGCACAGAGAGGAAGGAGGGACATTTTCTGTGTTTTTCAGTCATCCTTGGCAACCTTATCTTCTAGTTAAACAACTGGCAGTGGGACATTTTAGCCTTATTTTATTTTTCCCTCTGCGTTCTTTCCTTGTCTACTTCCAAGGTGTTTTTCAGTTTTGTTTTGTTTCTAGCTGCCATTCTTAATCCTAACTGTGATGGTGAACCTTTTAGAGCTTTAATTGATGATAGCCGTATGCTGTGGCATACGTGCCATCGGTTTGCCTCCACAGCTTCAGGACCTCCTGTCTTAGGCCTTAAAATAAGTAAGCAAACAGACAGATACATAAATGTGTGTGTGTATTTTTCCCCCCGCTGGACTTTTAAATGGTTCAGCTGTCTTTTGTGGTATCTCTTGTTGCCGTGTTACAGGAGGAGCTAAAAGAAGCCCAGTGATTTTGGGTGCATGTATTGTCCTGTGTTGCTAGGAGAGAGCTGGAGACGTTTCCTTGTGTGAAGACTGAGGAGTAGACATTGGAACAACTTCACATTTCCAGTTGGTTTCTGTTTGGTAATTTGGTGACTTCTCCTTTTAGAGCAAGCTTTACAGTGACTGATTTGGTAATTGGTAATATTTCACGTTGCCTAATGTTCAGACTGGATCAAGGTTCTGGTAAAATCTAGACGTGAAACTATTATGGTAATGCACATCTATCTTCTCTGATCTAGGATACTTTGTTCTTATCTGGAAACGTTTCATCTACTCACATTCACAGAAGCCTCATTTAAAATCTTGATGGTACAAAGTCATGGAATACTTTCGGGGTTAAGATAATTATTGTTAATTCATATTGATGTAGAGCCTTGTTTTCAAAAATCACTCTTTAAAATGGGTACCACATATCCATACATATAAAACAAAATGCAAAAGATGCACAGTGAGGGAGTGCAGGTCTTCTGGCACCGTCCTTTCCTCCACCTCACGCCCTCCCTAAAGCAGCACCGTGTTTGTCCTTCCAGAGGGAGCCTGCAGCTTTAGATACAAAGCCTATATATTCTTTGGTATTTTTTTTTTCTGTTTGTTTTACACAAATAGTAGATACTATGCTTTTTCTTCTGCACTTTGCTTTTTCATTTATCTTGATTATTCCATATACTGTGTACAGCATCTCCACCTTTTTGAAAGATGGCAGGTATTGCATTGTGTAGTTGTACCATCAATTCAGCCAGCACTCCATCTCTCTTATTTATTGATTTTCAGGCAGGGTTTCACTATGTACTTCAGGCTGGTCTTGAAGTTACTGTGTAGCCCTGGTGGCCTCGGATCTGCAGTGATTCTCCTGCTTCAGCTTCTCAGAGTGCTGGAAATACAAACATGTGTTAGCACTCTTGGCTGTTTTACTTTATTTTGAATCAGAGTCTCACTAAATTTCCTAGGCTGGCTTTAAACTGTGATTCTCCTGACTCAACCTCCTGAGTGCAGGTGTGTGTTACTATTAGCAGCTGCTTTTTTAAAAAAATGTTTAAGTGAAAAAATTTAAACATATGTGAAGATAGAAAGGACAGTACAGTGGTGTCCTGCAACCATCACTTAGATTCAACAGTTGTTCATAGTCTATATTTGCTTTGTGTATATATGTACTATGTGTTTAGATATGTAATATATAAATTTTTATATTTCAAGTCATCACAACACTTCTCCCATAAACACTTTAGATGCATCTCCTTGAAGTCATCATTATTTAACTTAATTGTTGTTACAATACTTGTCATAATTAAGGCAATTAACAGTAACCCTAATATTATCCAGTATTCAGTTCATGGTCACCTTTTCTCAGTTGCCTTGAAGATGATACGTTTTAGCTGCGTGTAGTTTTTTTCTTCAAACATGTCTCTTTAGTCTTTTTAAAAAATCCCAATTTAGAAACCATGCAACATTGTTTTGTTTTGGTACCGGGGATCGAACTCGGGACTTTGCGCTTGTGAGGCAGGTGGTGGCACCACTGAGCTAAATCCCTGGCCCCAACATTGGCTTTTTTGAAGAGACCAGACTATTTGTGTTGTAGCATGTATCACTTCTGGAATTTTCTGGTTGTTTCCTCATAGTTTCATTTAATTTGCTCCTTTACCCCCCTGTGTTACATATAAATTGGAATTAAGATCTAAATTCTCTCCTCCCCCCTCCCCTCTCTCCCTCTCTTCTGGCAGGGTCTTGCTTTTAACACAGCTGGCCTTGCTCATTATGGAGCCCAGGCTGGCTGTGAACTCAGTGGGATCCTTCTGTCTCAGCCTTCTAAGTGCTGGGATTACAGGTGTGCGCCACCACACCTGACTTGATCTAAATTCTAAAGGTTTAGATTCTGATTTAAACAGTTTTGCTAACAAAACTACTCCTTGCTCCATCATACTAGGAGAAATATATCACAGCCCTTTCTCTACTAATGAAGCTGTTGGTTTGATCATGTGTTTTAGGTAACAAATACTTTTTACCTAGAGGCATTATTTTTCCCTTTGTAGTTAGCGATTTCAATAGTGCCACTCTGGCACTGTACCATTTATACTTTTCCAGCAACCTTTCAGCAAAGGATTATGGTCCTTGCCTGAATCAGTTAATTCACTAGTTGTTGCAAAATGATGATTTTCTAATTCTATAATTTGCATTAAAAAGTTGAGGGGCCGGGGATTTAGCTCAGCGGTTTGGTGGCCTGCTTTGCAAGCACAAGGACTTGAGTTCAATCCCCGGTACCAAAAAATAATGTTGAGGCTGCTGGGCATGGTGGCACATGTCTGTAATCCCAGCACTCAGGAGGCTGTGGCAGGAGGATCACTGTGAGTTTCAGGCCAGCCTGGGGTATGTAGTGAGTTCAAAGTCAGCGCAAACTGCATAGAGAGACCCTGTCTCAAAAAAAAAGTTCTTAATTCTTTCCCTTTAACACTTTTCTGAGAGGAGATGGTATAAAGGTCTTCTTTAATGCCAGTAAAGGAACTGTTTTTCTCTCCTTTAGTAGCGTCATGAACTGATGAATTTGAATTTATTGGGTTTTACCAGCAATAACAGGCAATCTTTGTGATGCACAAGATGTTCCATATTTGGCTGTGGGAACTCCTCAGCTCAGTGTATGTATGAATGCTTCTTCGCTTTCTGGCACAAGAAGTTCCTGGCTCGCTTTGTATTTTTCCTGTCCCAGATGTGGAGCCGTTGCTTTACTTTTATATATATCTCCCTTTTCAGTAAATTAGGTTGTTCATCTTCATTACGGAGCTTCTGGAATCAAATTCTAAAAGCTACAGCTGCCTTTATCTTGACCCAGTGGACCTAGTGTTTGACTCACTTCCGTGCCACTGGTGTTGC